TTTATATATAAATATAAATACACCTATATATATCTACATATCCACACAGCATGCGTAACAATTTGACGACTAAATTTTCACTATTTTAATTGGCTGTTTCAGCGACAAAAGGACCATATTTTTTTTGTCGCTTTAACAGTCGATTTGAGCAGCTCGTGAAAATTTACCTTAATAGTCGACTTTTTTAATCAATTTAAAATCGACTTGCAAAGTCGACATTTAATCGATTATTTTAGAATGGCTTTTTGTCGATTTTGAATGTCGACTGTAAGCCAACTTGAGGTCAACTATTTTCGAAAATTTGAAAGCTTTTTATGTTCAACTTTTAGTCGATTTACATATTTGAAAAAGCAATTTATGTTTTATATAATTAAGAGAAACTCTTTTTACAGCTTGGTTCTTGTAAAAATTTTATACTTTTAGAATATAGAATCGCGGATATCCTTTCCTTCGGCTAAACCGAAAATAAAAATAATCTATTCTATAATCTAATATATCAGTAAAAACTTTGTACTGTTTACTATTATGAAAAAAATATTAGAAATCCGAAATATTTATATTTTGTGTATTAAAAAATGAACTTTTTTAAACTCTTGCATTTTTGCCGTATATCCCATAGGGGTGGGATATATGGCTACTCATAGGGGGAGGGGGAAAGGGAGGGGAGTATGTACTCATAAAAAATTTACAAATAATGCATATAAATAAGACGTAAAATAATACAATAACTTATAAAATGCATTTATAAAGTTTTATTAAGGAATAAGAATGATAAATATGTATATGAAGTAATAAATAATAATTACAATCTTCCCAGATGCATTACAAGTGTTATGATATGAGGTACATATGCGTTTATTATATTTCGTGCACTGAATTCAATCTGCGCATTTTGTATGCTTTGGATATAAATCCCGCCTGTTACAAATGCCATATGTCCCAAACAGGATATACAAGATAACTAACTAAGCAAAGAATATAAGAGCAAAGTAGTACTTGCATTTTGTTATACAGCATACTTTACTATTTCTCTACACTCATATATCACAAAATAATCACTAAGTCTTTTGCACGTCCTACAATAATCATTTTATGAAGATTATAATTTATGATGGCGCTACTTAACACAGTGACAAAGAGTGAAATCGATTTAACTCACAATAATTTCATTAATATTATCAGTAAGAAATCATAACACAATATTAATATAACAAAGGCATGTAACATAAGAGTAGTTGCAGAAAAATTACTCCTATTCCTTCTATTTATTCTGACTTCTACGGCGTAAATCCCAGCGCGGTGTATTTGCCGGAGTTATCCTATTAGATGACTAACAGTGTGACATCTGTCGTCTTTTAGTCATTTTTTCGTCGACTATATTCTTTCACTAAAAGATATTTTTATAACAATTTAGTCGTCTTTTAGTATCTTTTGACGACTTTATGCTCTTTGGGGACACACACACACACACACACACACACACACACACACACACAGAGGATACTCCATTTATCATGTAAACACGTATATGTGTTATTTACATTGTTATAATAAAACATATCTCGTGTTCATGTGTCTTTATTTATTTTAGTTATAATTACCTATATTATAATATTCAGATTAAATTTGACATTTCTGAGGACTTGGAATCTATAAATGTTATTACTTTTTAAATGTATGTTAAAGAATATAATACAATTAAAATAGAACTCAATTGAAGACTCAAGAAATTTTACTATTTATAATATAATAGTAACACTTTTTAAAAATCGATTTTAATCAATTTAATATTATACTTTAATTGTATTATATGCTTTTTACATAATATATATAATATATTTAAAGAATAATAATAAGATTCACCAAGTTTTTGGAAATATTAAATTTTATTTATATTACATTAAATTAAAAGACGATTTATAGATGCCATAATATCGACTAAAAGTTAATCCAGTCATAACATATAAAAATATTATAATGCAATAGTCGCCATAAAGTCGACTTTGAATTGAATACAATGGCTGACTGACAATCGACTATATTTAGGACATTTATTGATTAAAAGTCAACATTCAGTCTGACTTCAAAGTTGACTTTTAACTTCTTCTGCTGACTGACAGTCGATTACCAGTCGACTTTGTACTGTATGGGTATACATATTTATGTATAAATATGCATGAACATTCCATTTATTGATAATATTGTTTTATTTATTTATTTATTTATATGCTATCTGTTAATACGCAGGATAAACGGAAAGAAAATTTAATACACATCAACATAAAACTGATATATAAAAACCTCAAAATTCTCTGTCGTATCTCATCATCAGCTTAACAACGATCACAAATTAAATTAGAAAAATATTAGCATTCTAGATTCAGAAAAATCATTTTATAGAAGAATGGTGTCCGAAATGATAAATAAATAAAAAAAAACAAAAATTAGAAATAAATAAACAAAGTGGTACAGACAACGATTTCCAGATATCTATTTGCCTATAATTAATAAATTTTCCTCTTCTCAACCTTAATATTACCATCTCTTCCCCTTTTTTTTGAAAAAAAGTATAAACACAACATGCACAAATATAATATACATTATAATATATCTCAAATTGAATATAGTATTTTCTTGGTCGTCTGTCTGTTTCTCAGTGAGAAATGACAAGAGAATCGATGTCAATTCGATATCGATTCCATCACTGATATTTCTCATTTAGATTGGTCTTAATTACAATCGTTTATAAAGAACTATGGTATACACATAAATTCATGAACACTACGATGATTGCTGTGAAAAACACAGATATACAATAGAAATAATTTTAAACTTATGACTCATTTTAATACAATTATTCTTAAAAAAATAGAATTTGGAAATTTTGAAGTTTTCCAATCAATATTACGAAAATTAAAAATCATAAAGAGTGAAAATATTGAAGATTGATGTACCTTCGACAATTTGTCGAATCGTTTTAAGTTTTTAAATGATAATACAATCAATTAATAACGATAATCGCGAATTTATTTAGAACAAAGAAACTACATTTTGAATTATATAACAATTTCTTTTAAATTTACAATTGTATTCTTTTTACTATTGTAATGAACTTGTATAACAAAGAAATCACATCTTAAATTATATTCCGGTTTTAAAAATCTGTACGTTTTAATTATATAAATATTCATATTGAAGATGTCCAGATAATGGCCGAAATGTTTATAAATTTTATATGTTTAACATAAATATTTGAAATATATGATATTCGCTAAAAACATCCTGCATTGTGGTTGTATGCTCCTCTTACTCAATTTTTTAAATTTGTACTTATATTATTGACTTATGTATGACTAATATATAATCCTTATTCTATCTTTTCCCCTTCCATCGCAACGTTCCCTCCAAAGTACCGCAAGGCTTTGTTCTTGGTCATTTGCTTTTTAATCTTCGTCGGTGATCTTCTATAACCCGTCTTCAGTCTTCTCCAAACTTCTCATGTATGCGGATGATGTTACTCTTCTTCAGTTCATTTGCCCTTCTGATGCTGCAGATGCTTTGGCAGCCGTAAATTGAAGTACACGTATTTTTACTTCAGGGAACAGAAAAATATCAGTTTAAAAAGATAATTTAATACTTTATTAATATATGTAGTTTTTTGCTATTTTTATTAATAAATTTGTGTTTTAATACGCTCTTTATTATTAGATTGAATTGTTTCTTTCATTTCAAAATGTTGATTTTTCAAAATATAGATACAAAAAAAATTTTCGATTTTGAAGTTAAATACCGAAAATATATACTAATAATACAAAAACATTTTTACACGACGTATTTTAAATCTTTTCTTATTGTTTCTGTATTTACTATATGCAAATTGATTACAAACATCCTATTTCATGTCAAACAAAAGTTTAACTTTGTTAAAGTTTAACTAACATATAAGTCAACAATAAGAAGAAAAGAATAAATCTCGACACAGTTCTTCTATGAAAAATAGTCGCACCATAAATTGCTCCTTTAAATTCTTTTACTATTTCGATAATAATATGTTGCACTCCAGTCACTATTGAGCGCAATTCGTGCTTCATCACTCGTCGACTGATCTGTGTATGTGAACACTTATAGAATAATAAAATCATGTGAATTGCCAGCTTGTTACGATATCCGACGATAATGATGTCACATCGCGCGGCTCGCAAATCAACGTTCAGTCCTTTGTACCAGCGACACATATATATTGACGACAATGACGATGTGACGGAATGTTTGTAGCTTCTTACGAGCTAACACGATGATTGCGAATTAGATGAATAAATTGCAACTGAATTACACCACTGAGCTAATGCAACATTAATGCCTCAGAGAATTCCTTATATCTTAAGAATTATTATTTGAATCATTGCGGTTCAGTCATGACGTTGAGTATTAATCTTCACTGTGTAAACAAAGGTCACTTTTTAAAATTATGAAATTTTGAAAATAAGTGAGTACGGGCGCGCCGTTCTCCTAAAAAAAAACTTGTGGCGTGTGAGAAAGTGTACCATGAAAGCTCGACAGTGGGTGTCATTTTCTCACTGAGAGAGTATTCAAAATCGAGTGTAAGGGTTAAAAGGATTGCGTGAATCTCACAATTTCTATGACCGGTTTTTTTGAAGAAACATTTGATTTTAAATTCACTGCAGATATAATCGTCGTGCTTTGATTTAAAGAACATTATATTAATCATTTTCTTTTATTTTAAACTTTTTACTTGATTTTTCAACTTGGCAAAGTGAAATGTTTTATTCGAATCTGAGATAAAAAATACAAAATTCAAAATGATATAGACCAATAATTATTATAAAATTCGGTTTTAAAATATTCTGAACATTACAAATAACACTAAGCTTCCAGTTCATTTTATTTGAACTGACTGTGAGTAACAAAAATCGAAACGAAACATATTTAAAAAACTATTTCGTTAGAGGTTACTAATAGAATTCTAAAATTCGAAATAGTGAATTTAATATAGCCGATCAAATAAAAAAATCTGATAATTATCATAAAATTCGGTCCGCTGTATGATACATCATTTCGAATTTTAGAATTCTGAAGTCATAATCGAATTCTATAATTGAAAATAGAGATTAAAATTTTCCATAAGTTACTTTATTAGAAAACACTCATCTTCAAAAAGTTAAAATAAAAATCAAAGAGTTAAAATAAAGATTTCTGACAATTCTAATAGATAAAATCGTGATAAAAAAACGTGCATATCATACCTTCGAATTATAATTGGACCAACTTGATCTTTTACTCCTACAGACGGGATAGGGCAATTTAAATAACGAGATACGTGAGTTAAGAATTTATATTTATATCTCCGAACGACAATATATTGAGCATTTGTCACATCCGAGTGGTACAATATAAATATCGAAATAAAAAATACCATTGTTCTGAAACGCCTCGCGACAATGACATGAGCGTTAACAATCAGAAAACACTCAAAAAGACCGCATTTGTTTCTTGAGTCCTCTGTGAGCGATTTTTCCTATATCATACTCGCTAAATATCTACAACATTCGCTGATCATTACAAGGTGATAACAAAATTATGTGTAAAATTGAATTACATCTTGAAACGCACATTCTCGAACTCGCGAGATTATGTGTAAAAATGCGGATACATCTTACGTCTCCTTTCTCTTCTTGCTTCGCAACTTAAAACATCACACATGTGATCTTACGATAACAGTACAGGTAAAGAAGCAGTCGTGTCATTTCAGAGGATAAAACCATCGGTCTTGCAAAAAAGAAACGAAGATTTTTCAACGGTGAAAATCGTAATGAAATATTCTTTCTTCCGACACGAATTAAATTCTACATAATATTATAAAATTCTCCATGGAACATTTTTAAAATTATTGAAAATTTTAGAACTTTTAGAACTCTTTCATTAAATTTTATAATATTTAACCCTAGAATTATAAGCTAACATCAATTAGGCGCTGAAAATTCTCAATATTGATTTCGAGAATATTGACATATGTACAAAAAAAATTTGTTTTCTTATAGAAATATATTTCCAGAATATTAATTTTCATTTTATTTGTACATAGTCCTCATAACAAAATAAATAAAACAAAATATATTTATATAAATAAATTTGAAGAATGCAATTTAAACATTTTTTACACATTAAATAAATATAAATTTATCTTTATTAGGTTTAAATAAATATGCTTATCTTTCTAGGATTAAAAATAATTGAGATGCTTATATGAAATTTTGTTTGGCATATTACATGGAAAAAAATTGATGTATTAACTACAATAATAACTAATAATTAACTAATAACAGCATTACCTCTAATAATAGTCTAATTGAAAATAATCTTGTTAAGCCAATACATTCAGTATTTATTAACAAAACAAATACGTCATGATTTTGTTCAGTAAAATATCATTTAATATCATTATAATTATTAACAGAATTATTTTTAATTAGACTGCTATTATTATTGCTTTTTTCTGTGAATAATGTCAGAAGTTGCAATTAATGCCTATACGGCCGGCGCATTTAATTCGTCTTACTTTCATTTCGTAATGCGAATGTTAGTTTCATTTACTATTATATCTTAACAAATACCGGATATGTGCTACTCGAATTGCGTATATAATGCGAATTTCTTAATGTAACAAAAGCGTGGTAAATTCGAGCGATGGCCATTCGTTTTTATCATTGTTCATACAATGTAAATGCAATATCTTTTTTCCCTATAAATAAATCTTCGCAATAAATAAAAATCGTAAAAGACGTTGCAACAATCGTTACACTTACGTAAATGGGATTAAATGCGATGATTACATCAAACTATTGCGAAGTTTGCTTCTCGTTATATTAGAAATGCTACGCAGAAAATAAAAAGATTTTAAATGTAAAGAAGTAAGTCTGAGAAAGATAGACAGACAGAGAGGGTAGGGGGAGGGAGAGAGGAGAGAGAGAGAGAGGGAGAAGGGGGGAGGGAAAGACCCAAGTCAGATGATCAACGTTTCAATTAGTCGTTTTATGATATGTTGGATAATAAAGGATATATAGGGAAACTTGAGGGAAATCATTACTTCAATGGAAAAAATTGTTTTCATCTTGTTAGTGTTCATTTATTTTGAATTAGAAGTGTTAATGTCATGATAATTGAGCATCGATAACAATAGAGTATGACTGTTTTATTCTTCAAGGTATCCAATTTTTTTTCTCGTAAGTATTCAATTGTTTTTCAAGTTAAGTTTTATAATAAGATTAAAAATTTGAAATCAAATGAAAAATTAGTTGCTTTAAAAATAATTACAACGTTAGTTAGCAAAAATGTATTTGTTTACAAAAAATAAAATGAAAGTTTAAAGTTTCCTATATTCTTGGATTAAATCTCTCAGAATAGGAGATACTTAATACATTTTATTGTTCTACTAAAATGTAAATTATTTTAAAAATTATTATGATTTTTTCAACTTAATCAATATGATTAGAGACACTATTAAAATATCTACAATACAGCATTAGAATGTTTTGATTTATTCAAAAAATAAAAAAAACTTTTAATAGATCCCAGACTCTTTTAATAACAAATTACTCATGCATCTACTAACATTTATATGACATAGGTAAATACAAAAAGAAAATGTGTTTATTTTATAGAACATTTTTACTAGCTAGTCTATCAAAAGGAAAGAGGAAGAGAGAGGGGGGAGGGGGGAAAGAGAGAAATTGAAGAAAAGAAAAAGAGCGAGAGAGAAAGCGTTATGCGTGTGCGCTTGCATACGTGTGATTTGTATGTTACAATACTGCAATTTAGAATATATAAGTACGTATATTATGGTACTGGAACTGTAACTAAAAGGATCTTAAGAGGATGCAGGAGCCGCCTATTACCGACAAAAACTAGCGTTTTTGATATTTTTGTTCCTACTCAATTTCTTCGTTTCACAGAATAAAAATTCCTTTTCTACGATTAAAATATACATGCTAATGTACCTGACGTTAGTGTATATTAGCATGTATTTTATATTATGGAAAAGAAATTTTTCTGTGAAATTATTACGAAGAAATTGGACAGAAACAAAAACGCTAGTTTTATCGATAATATACGTAGCTTCAGCTCCCGTTAACTTTGGATTTTGGAGAATATTAAGCTGCGATTTGCTTCGCAATGATGCAAAATGTTAGCTCGTTCACTTCTCTCCATATAATTTCAGCGAGAACTTGTCTATGGATCATACAAGGCATTCATTCCGATTAGTCATTCCAAGGAGACGTGTCTTTTCGCGCTTTTTCGAAATGTGCACATGAGCATCCTGTGTTAGTGAAGTCATCTTTTCAGCGTAACACGACGATTTGTGACTCATATGACCGCTTAATAGTCTTCGTTCCGTTAGTTTTTGTGCTGCTCGCAAGGCTTATTCAATGTAAAAACATTGTTTGTCTCCTCTCAGCGAATGAATCCGAAAGCACGCATCAATAATATCAGGTATCATCCTCTCTTCTCGTCGGGATCGAATCGGAGTCTCTCTGGGTTTTTCCTTCGCGTAGAAGAACATGTCTCGTAATCAAGGTATAGTGCAACGTCTCTTTAGCCTCAAATGTAAATTTAAGATTATGATTTTGTTGTGCAGTAAAAGCGTCCTTTTGTTCCTGCACTCGATGTATTAGCGAATCGTGCCAAGGACACAATGCGAGTATTATGCCATGCACTAACGAGCGACAGAGCCTTGACCTGATCTTCAAAGCTCGTTAACTCATGATGATTTGCGCGTGGTTTTCCTCACCAGGAGAAAACGATGATACAGTACATTGTAGTATAATATAGCCCCTCCTCCCCTTCGCTTATCCAACGAAATCGCAATTGACTTCTTCAGAATTATGCGCAAGAAAATGCACGACAGAAAAATTATGACGCGATCGAGAAGATGAGTAGAGATGTGTAAATTATTCGAATACAATTGAATCGAATTAGGTAAGATTTGATTCGATTCGGATTTTAATTTCTATAATTCAAATTTCTAAAATTTTATTCAAAAATTTTGAATTTTAGAATTTTGATTTCAAATCACATATATTGAATTTCTCACACACACACACACACACACACGCGCGGAGAGAGAGAGAGAGAGAAGAAAGGGAGGAAGAAAAGTCGCCGATATTGACATAGGTCTCCTAAAGAGACATTTCTTTATTTCTTGAAAATTTATTATTATTACACATTATTATTTTTATTATTACACTTTATTAATACTGATAAAAACATAATCTGTTTAGATAATTGAAGAAATAAAAACTTGAAATCCATGGCTTGTTTCTGTACAAAATCAGTTAAAAACAAATTCTGCAAATATGAAAATAGAATTCTTAGAAGAATTCTTTCTTATATAATTTAAATAATAAAAAAAGTGAATATATTATTGACAATATTACATGTTTTGTAGTTTCCTAATCAGTTTTATTTATATCATTTCTTTTTCATTTTATCATATTAAATGTAAAATGATGGTTTAAATATAAAATAGGGATACAGCTTACATCAGCACACCTGTCCATAAGATCATAAGCTAATTTAATCTTTTATAGTGTCAAATAACCCTATCGGAGCTGAAGATAATCGTATATATTTATAGGAAAATCTTCAAAAAAAGAATCTGTTGCAATACAGGTTTGTGTCTTGCAGAATAACATAAAATATGCATATAAATCAATAAAAAATGTTTTATAACGAAATGAAAAGATTCTGAAAAATCTTATACATTTATTTGTAGGTATTTTGTACAGATGACTCCTGTGAAAGAAAAAAAATAGAATTATATAGCATTACTGTCTACTATGTCAATTTGGAAGCTATTTTGTCAGACGCTCATACTTGTTTTATAAAAATGTTAATTATTGCAAAATTGCAAGCAGTATTATAAAATGCTGCTATATGTATCTCATAGTAGATATTTCTAGTTTATGTTTAAATTTTATTTTTAACTTTTGTTTGTTAAATATTACCTAACAAAGTGATATGTCGATATCGGTAACCTTCCAATACATATATACATACATATATAATATATATATATATACATATACGTATATACTATCTTATAACATCATATTCTCACTGATAAGCAAAATAGTGCGGTCATGTTCAAGTAATATTTTATTATTAGGTCTACACACAAATTTTGACATGTACTGTGGCCAATTGTAAGTTAAGTTATTGTCAAATTGTAAATTTAAATATATAGATATAAAAAAATATATAATGAGCTGTGAATATTGATAGCAAAATAAATTCTATATTATTTTATTTCAATTACTCTATATGTAATGTATGATATACAAATTGGTACATTAGAGTATTTTAATAATTGATTTATAATTTTTGAAAAATTAATTATAAAAATATTTTTATAATTAATTTTATAAAACATTTCAATTATATAAAAAACGCAACAAAAAATAAAATATCATAAAAAGCTAAAGCAGTGAAATTAAAATGTTATTTAGTGTATATATTTAGATCAATAATATATCGTAAGATATATTTAAGGAAATGAATTAATTCTATAATAAGCAGCGAATATATTAAAGATAAAATTTTTGAAAATAGACAAAATCCAGCAGTAGCTTATTTGATAAACTTTGTGTACCTGTTTCATGTATAATACATTTCATATGAGAGACTTATTGTTTGTTAATTTCAAAATACTTTTCATGATTCAATTAAAATTTAATTTATGCGTAAAAAGTATATGAATTACTGCTTCAAATATTACGACAATAATAATAAATAAAAAATATCTTTTTCTTATCAGTTTTATATTAAAATAAATTTATATCATATAATCAATATTATTTTTCTTAAATCAAAAATTGCTTCCATTATATCTATATGTTCAAATTCAACTTATATGTATAATTATATTAACAAATCAAAATTTTATTCGATTCGATTTAAAAAAATATTGATTTGTCTCTACAAATTTCTCTTAAATGCAAATTCGATTTTTTTACAAGATTGTGATATTGTATCTTTTCGAAAAATTAGTATTTTATGAATTATTTCGGTTTTTCGAAGAATGCGAAAAACATTAGAAAAGCGAAGGAGAAGTATAAAATAAACGATAATAAAATATAATAATAAAAATATGATAATTTTTTAACACGGCGCATTAGGAACACAATACGTAATAAAATATAAAATTACGATTAATTAATGTTGATATGAGTGGTTTCGGTATGGATAGGATAGCGAGATTGCGAATGAGATTGCAACGATCCTCTAACTTTATAAAATTATTAACAAAAGTATCAAAAAAAATATATCCGTAAATATTAATAATTATAGACTCATTAAGGACTTAAGAACCAAGAATAGGTGCGTTCGGCATTAAATCGGAGGCATCCGTTTGCTCTTTTATCTTGAAAATCGTTCGGCAACTCGCATCTTTCTGTTACATGTCATCTCATCTGCGTTCGATATTAACATTTCTAGAGCCAATCAAGCTGCTCGATCCACTCCGGATTCAAAGATCGCGCAAAGAGCTTGCAGAGCTAATGCAGATTTTTATGCCTAAATTAAATTCATAATCTGTATATTTATGATATCTGTATATTAATGCTATCAAATAGAAATTGATGGAATACATTATTTAATGAGGAAAGTAAGTTTTTAATTCTTTTCCTCTTTATAATATATTATACTCTAACGAAAAATCAAGTGATATAACTTATAAATTGCAGAAATTTATTTTGCAATGTATTTTCTTTTAAGAAATTTTCAATGGGATATTTTTTATTTATTCATAAAAATAAACAATTTCATTTTATAATCTAATCTCAAAGGACAATTTACAGCTCTGTAGCGTTCGGAATTAATTCTTGGCACTCGGATTGCTCAAAGATCATATGATCAAGCTCGCCATCTGCTAGCTCGCATCTCAGATTTACATTGTCGAATGCATCTAATTTTATCGTTGCAAAATAATCTCTTTATCCCGTCCAACCAGGAAATCTCGGTCGACATAGTCGGCCTTCTCCAGCAGTATGTTTCTTTTTTTCTCTTTTATATTTTTTCGCGCTACGGGGCCCAAAAATCTCTTATAATCATCGCCTCGGATATATGGCACCGAGAGCGGAAGTATAGTACGATACTTCCGCAGGATACGAAAAAAAAAAGAGGCGATAACGAGAAAGTGCTTCGTGAATGTGCTCGAGGGAAGGCACGACCGATGTCGGGCGCGCCAGCACCCGCTCGTGTTATCACGCGACGTATTATCCAGACGATGACTAGATAATATTCGGAAAAGGAGGGGGGGGAGGGTAAAAAGAGGAGGCGAGGGTTAAGAGGAACGAAATGGAGGAGGGAAGTCGCTTCGGGGCACTCTCCATTCATTGTGACACATTTATTTCAGGCGGCAGCCGCGCTCTCGATTGACGCAATAACGCGCGACGCGTAATAATTGATGACGAGGTATCTCGCTACTTCTCTCGCAATACGAATCACGGGGATTATAATTACGTAAATGTACGTATTTTTCCATATGCTTTTCACGAGCGAGATTGATCTGAATTTTTTTTTTTTTTTCAAGTTGAAAATTAGAATTGACGATTGAACACGACAGTAATACGATTAACGATTATTACAAAATTGTTTGAATGACATTAAAACTCCTAACTACTAATTCGTCAGAAGATATTTGGATGTTAAATGACATCCTAACGAGAAAGAAAAATCTGACTCCGGATTCTCTTTTTAATTAAGAGAAAGTATGTCGTATCCGATACATCCTGCTAGATATCTACTTTGACCTGATTATACTGCGAATAGGATGTCGTCAATGAGTACGCGTGTAATCGTACGATGAGACTGTTGATTACACAAAGGAACTCTTTGGGAATCTCATTGTGATTGGCAGTCTTCCTAACATCGTAAAAATATTGTCCCTTGTACCTTCTGTACACTTTAATGTCAGATGCGATCATTCGATTTTGTCTGATATATCAAATGGGGGATGCCGCTGGTGTAATATAGGAAAATTACGCTCATTTGCTACTAAACGTGCAACGAAAACGCGGACGATCATATTTATGAAAACAATTTAGCATCGAGATGTAAAAAAAGGCTAGCTAGAGGTCGACAAAACTATAGAACCATTTATGCCTATCTCATGCATAGGAGATCCTCTCTCCCTTCTCGAGAAAATAAAATTTCTACATTACACGAAATATCTTACAAAATTAATTCTACGATAATAAAAATATTTCTTTGGAATTCACAGAGATGTATAATAAAATAGTAAAAGATATAGATGTATAAAATAGTAAATTCTGTCTTCCAGACTCGAAGATCCTCCTCCAGGAATAAAAATTATCACTTTCATTCGACCTCTGTAAAGAAAAGCCTAATTTGATGACGTGATCGTGTAAAAATTTAATCAGCGAAATTCTCTACGCCTTTTTGTGATACACTATTCCTCTATAATCTCCATATGTGCCTGCCTCTTACTCGCACTTGAACCGAATGCATGTATATGTGTGCGCACGCGGCTATATGTATACGTGTGTGAGGTCATCAGTGAAACGGTTGGTATCGCGTCAGCCGGTCGGCGTGTAACCGGCACTCGAATTGCATTAAGGCGGTAACGATCGCACTTGGTTCACCAGGGTCAAGCGTAGGACCTTCGTCACTTTCAACCTTGCTGATTATCACTTACACTTACTCTTACCGTCGAGCAGCTTTTTCCAGAGGTCGAACTGCTCACTGTACTTGACCATGTGTATGCTAATGCCGCGTTGAATGTTGCAGGCCGTGTATTGTATCCGTTTATTCAGAAATTCATTGGCGTGCGAGCGCTTGATGCCGAGCCTATGCGCGACGATGCCCGTTGTGAATACATCTTCGAGCTTCAGATATGTCTGGTCTAGGGCGGCATCATACAAACGACGCACCGTATCGCTCGACAATAGATATGCCGGACCAGTGGTAAAGTCTGGAAATACAGACTGCTGGAATTGTGCCTGTGACACATAGTACTTGCTCTTGCGGTTCCGGATTGGCTTCCACTTTCTGGCCAGTCGACCGAATATCACGTTGCGATCTTTGACATGTTTATACACGAACGCTAACAGTCGCGGTACATTGATGAACATGTCATCATCGGTTTTTAGCAGATATTTCACCTTAGAACAATAGGTGTCTACCCACTCCAATGTCGAAATGGTTTTGAGAGTGAGATTTGAATAGGAATCAAGGAAACGACCACGTATCACGTCGTTGTACATGTTTTGTTCCTTACGCAGGATCGTCTCCACTCTTGGATCAAGAGTGGTACCAAGCATGAAGAGTACACTCATATCACTGCGCTGGCCAAAGTGTCCCCAGGTCTGCCGAATCGCAGTCCGCGCCTCTAGATGGGTCGGCGCGGACATCACGATCATTACTAAATCCATGTCCTTGCCGAGATTCGGGCAACGCTCAGGAATTGATACGATGTGTCCAGCCTCGTATATGGCGCGTGCCGAATCGTTGCGAACTACGATTGGCGCCGACTTAGTCACATTGGTAACTCTTGCCATTTCAAGCTTCTTGTTTACCCTCCGCTTCGAGTTGATCAACGTGCTCACGGAAGACAACGAGGACAAAGACTGTACGCTGGAGGACGTTGACAATGTAGTGAAAATCAAGGAGCTGTTGCTAGAGTTGTGCGCTACGTATGGGCTTAGAGACATGCTGTCTGAGCTAGAGTTTTTAGATTGACTGAAATTCGTGTGAACGTGAAGGCCATCTTGGTACGCAGAATAATCTGAAATTCATTAATTTTGGATAACAATTAACTGATTAAAAAAATGTGCCAAAATGTTGAAAAACATTGATCACTGTTTTGCTTTACAAAATGTTTAAAAAATATTGATTTAAATAAAATTTGTAAACAGCATCTTTTTTTATAATATCAGATAATATAATATAAGATAACTATAATTATCTTAAATTATTTCTTGTCTTTTTTTTATAAAATAAAGACACTGTTTAAAAATTTTATAGTTATCTTATATTATCTCTTGTCTTTTTTTTATAAAATAAAGACAAGAGATAATATAAGATAACTATAATATAGATAACATATATAACTGACTTGAATTAATCAACAAAGTAAGTAAATTAATCAACAAAGAAACAGAGCACGAATAGTATTTGTTACTTCTTAATTTAGTTTTGTTTCTTTGATCATCAAATTCATTATTTCTTTAAAACTGAAACAGCAGCTTTAATAAATTCATCAAGGTAAAAAAAGAGCCATGTAAGAATTTTATAAATATAATAATGCTTACTGGTGTTTCGTGGTAAGCTGTACTGGCGAACATCATACACGGTGGTACGGTAATACGCATAGAAAGTCAGGCCGATCAGTGCGAGGATGAGGGTCTGTAGAAAACGACTCCTGAGATGCAGATAGTGGAACATGACGAATACTTGCTCTGGTCACTCTTCTCTCTCTTTTCCTCTTCTTTTTTTTCACGATGTGAAATCACCTGCAAAGACTATATCATCGTGTTGCGCCCCAAACAACTTGAGGACCGTCGTTACTTCCTCATAGACTCCACCACGGATCAGAGCACCACTACGTGCCACCGTACGGCCGATTATTCCCATACTGCGCGCTAGGCCCCACTCGCCATCCGTTTCACTTTCCGTCTGTTGTCCGCCTGTTCCCTCACCCAAGACGGAGGGGACAGAGAAGGATTGCAGTCGACTCTAGCCCGCCAATCCGTTACGCATCGTTTCCAAGAGGACAGCTACTCGCCCAAGCTACTTTAGCGTGTCACATCACACGAGGTATAAGCTCTTACGGACTTCAACGTCGTCAACGTCGTTAACGACTGTGTTGGACAATGCTGAGAAGAGCTGGAGAGCAGTGATGTACATTGGAGTCCGAGCATTCCGAGCACTCCGAGCACGCTGTGTTCGGCTAAACTCGGCTCAGCACGACTTGGACTGAGCGCGACAGCGAGATACATCTGTTCTTCTCACGTTCAGCAACTTTCGGCTGCAGCCATTCGAAAATTACTGTTGCACTGCCAGCACTACTGCAACGTCGTATTTCGGAACGGCATTGCAGTAGACTGGCAGTAGTGTAAACAGACGCCATGGACAAACGCACTAAATTATCATTAAATTTTGAACGAAAGCAACAGCGATGGTTCCTCTGAAGAAGATGAACTAATTATGGAATCACTAATTCAAGCAGTTTGACCTCGTATTAAAATTAAATTATATGGACACAGTTAATGAATATTCAGATGTGGAGCCTAAGGCTGGTATGTAGTCGATTCAAGATCGTCTTAAATTCGGGGGGTCGATTCTATATCTTTAAAGGTGAAAATTACAAAAATGAGCAAATTTACTAGGTGTTGACCAATGAAATTATCAGTATTCTAATAAATTCGCTCACTTTTGTAATTTTCATCTTGTTTCAAGAATCGATCCCCAGAAGCGTCGTAAGCATCATGTGACTTTAAAATTGAAGCATCGGATTGGCTGAAGCAACAAGCTTTTGACTTGCGACGTCTACGGTACGAGCAATGTAGAATGACCTTAACATAAACTGTAGATTTTCAACGCTGGCAGTGAATTTTGGAACACAGCCTTATAAATGTACAGTCCAACTCAGTTCAACTCATTACTCGTTACTTCGTGATCAGTAGGCGGGGAATTGACAGGATTTTATGTTTACTAAAATTTCGTAAGATAGTTCATCGAGTACTAACGATTTTTAAAATGGTATGTATAAAAATATTTAATTTCAAATGAGATTGATAGCTTTCATTAGAGTCGATAAAAATAAAAGAAATACATACTCTAAAAGTATAATTTTTCTTAACATTCTATAATTGACATTTTATTCTGTCAGGTGGTTGAACTACTTTTTTGACAAACAGCTGTAATATGTGATGTTTGATCAAAAAATCAAAATAGATTATAGTATCACCTTTATTTATCAAATTTACCTATCGAAAAATAAAGAAACAATTATTTCACTTTCACATTTAATGCAAATGATTAAACAATATCTAAGTAACAGAAATAAGTACATTAAGCTTTGAATGCTTGTTCTTTATAGATACGATTTATCCTTATACAAAATAGGGCCGGTAAGACTAGGTTAGCAAAGTGGTACATGAATTTTGACGATGATGAAAAGCAAAAGTTGATAGAGGAAGTTCATGCTGTGGTTACTGTCAGAGATGCTAAGCATACCAATTTTGTCGAGGTTGGCTTGACATAATGCAATGTTCTTACATTTACATGCAATGTTATTAAACATTAAATATATTCCAGTTTCGCAATTTCAAGATAGTTTACAGACGATATGCAGGATTGTATTTCTGCATCTGCGTCGATGTTAACGACAATAATCTCTGTTACTTGGAAGCGATACATAATTTCGTAGAGGTGTTGAACGAATATTTTCACAATGTATGCGAGTTGGATTTAGTCTTTAATTTTTACAAGGTACTTTTTTCTTTCTCCAGTGACACACTTTTAATCTAGTTGAATGAAATTTGAGAATTATTAATTTCATTGTCTTATGACTTCTGTACACTGGACATAGAAATGCTTGCAGCACAACAAGATAACATAATATAATAGTAGCCAATAACCTTACAACTAAGGAACAGATTGACTACTGCATTTGCTGTATAACAAGCATTGCCACATCCAGTATAAAGAATCCATTGATTAACATAGTTTTACTTTATTACCTTATCATTATTTAACTGTATATTTGATGGTATGTTATGATACATCTGTATATTTTAGGTATACACTGTTGTGGACGAAATGTTTTTAGCTGGCGAGATCAGAGAGACAAGCCAAACTAAAGTGCTAAAGCAACTCTTGATGTTAAATTCCTTGGAATAAAAGCTCTCGCTTTTATGTATTAATAAATGCTCTAAATAAGTGTCCGACTGAATATACATCCATATTATGTAGATGTCGCGTAAGACATGCATATAAATACTTTACGTAAAAACACATAATTTGTTTCACGAAAAGAACGCTAGATGTACAATAATATTTACATAATTTTTTTGCGTTATGACTTACAAAAAGGTAACAATGCTCAAAACATGACAAACATGTAGACATAAAAAAAAGGTAGAAAGTATATCCTCTGTGTTTTAAACATGTAATAAATCTTGTAAATATGTGCTAAAGGATATGAAAATGCCTCTCTTTATTGTTACATATGTATATATGTGTGTGTGTGTGTGTGTGTGTGTGTATATGTATATATATATATATATATATATAATATACGATAATTATAAGGAAAGTATTAGATACAGAAAAACAATATTAATTGATAATCTTGTATACATCTGACAAACGAATAATACAGTCATTAATGCTACAAAATGTTTCAGATATTTTTAATTCGTATACGATTAAAAAAAATAGCTTAGAAAATTGAAAAGTCGTTTTACAATGATAGATAAGTAATACAGATTTATGTATGTACAAATAATACAAGTCGTAATTTAGTAAACTCGGGATTGTAATATAGCTTTCTGCAATAACGTGCAAAATGTCGCGTTCACTTCTTGACATAACAGATCCGCTGCTTTATCACCTAGTGCTGCTTGAGCCGTACTAACTCTGCCAAGCTGCAGTAACAATCCCGTGATATCCTCTGCCAATGGAGGAAAAGCTAAACATATCCGTGTCAATGACGATAACACTGGCACGAAGAGAATAACTCGATCTTCAGCAGATAACACGCCCAAAAGGGTTATCAGTGTATTAATCGCTAATCGAGATACGCTCAAAGCTTTCGGCAGAGCGTACTGAATCGCGAGATGTGAAGCCAAGTCAACGGCGAATACTTGTTTTTCTGATTCAGGTTGTGACAATAATTCTGGGATCCAGTCAAGGCATATGTGCATAGATGGAATTCCGGAAACCGTGATCGGGAGCAATTCTCGAGGATAACCCTGTAGAAAAAAATATCCATCATAAGAATCATACATAAAATTAATTAGAATTAATGATATTTGAATAATTGACGATTAAACTAGGATTCTTATAAGATTATACATATGAGTATACAACCAATAGAAAATCAATGCCTTTAACACTTTAATGATCTAGCTAAGTCTTAAGTACTTGTATACTTTTATATGAATTTATATACTAGGTACGTAATCCTTCAAACTGCATCCTTCAACTGACCGATAAATTTTTTCATCAAATTTTTAATCAAAATCAAAGGACACTTCCCTATGCCTTCTTGTAAAATATTTTTTGTAGTTATGAATACCTGAAAGTGGACTAATTTGGCCAAAGACGGATCAGCTATGAATACTTGATGTAAGTACGAACATACGACACTCCGTATTTCCCGGAGGGACCACATTTGTCCAGGAGTTTTCTTGTCTTCTTCTGTCTCGAGACAAGCTTCTAATAAAATCTGTACTGCTGCGCTTTCTTGACCTGCCACCAAGGCTATCCTCAAATCCTCTCTTTCTGTTTCACTCGTCAATTGTCCGATTTTTTCGGTCAGAGGTTTATCCAGCATATGTCTGGCTAATTGAGATCGCGACGCAGCTAATGTAGCTTGTAAAATTCTACGAACAGTTAAATTTGATATTATTTTTATGAAAATTTGAAAAAGTTGGTTTTACTTTATTTAAAAGAATTTTTTCAACTTACCTTAAGATTACAGATAAAATCGGGGCGCATCTAAAAACTCTCGTATCACATCTCAATACTTGCAATGGATCTAATACGATATTGTCTTGTGTCAAAAAAACATTTTTCACTATTGAATTTTCTATTAGCAACGCATTTATGGAAAGAACCCATAGACAACGCGGTAATACAGTATTGAGTCTGAGCCACACTTGTTTATAAAGTTCTGAAATTAAAAAATCCTCTTGTGAGTGTTCTTCATTAATCATATGCAAATCCCTCTTATACAGATTAATTAACATTAATGTATAATTTGTCAACTTATTATTAATAATTAATTATTAAGACAATGTACCTTGTATATATCTAGGAACTTGCTCATCAAGAATGTCCTTGAAATAATGTATTATCAATTCTGCGTAAGGCCAGATTTCAGTCGGTTTCAGCGTCATCAATTGTCTCAATAATCTACCAGTCCTTGATGGACAAGTTTTGGCGTGGCTGAATGCCTCAACGATCGCAATATCGCTGATTTTCATGCTTTCATAGCTCGCAATGGCAGAATCTATGTTAATCATTTCATCATCGAGCCAGTCATCTACCAGAGACAGATGAGGAAAATGTGTGGCTAGTAACCGAAGAAGTGGTGAGAATAAACTGGCATAATTCATCTGATCCCGCTGGACTAATTGCAATAAATATTTGATTGGTAATTCAGAGAGAAACTCTGTAGAATACGACTTGACTTTTCTGCCTTGTGACATGAAGGTGTGCATATTGGACAATCTTACATCCTCGTAGAGCAGAAGGTAATAGAGCAGTAGTAACTGGGAAGTGAGTGAAGGTTTCGATGTGTCGATGTCCATATTGTCAGCGTCTATCTGCATGGTGTTGACGGGATTTTTCTTAAAGTCGAAATTTGCTCCGAACACACTGTTCTGAAACACCCGACAGATCTCGTTCTCAGTAATAGGCTTGTTTGTATGCTCGGACGTCTTGTTGTTTGTCATCAGGATAGAATTCACATAGACCTCAACCAGAGCCGGTAGAACTGGATGCAACGGTGGTACACTGGCACAGATCTGCCGGTATATCCAGTTCTTGATGGGTACCCGGTGTTTCGCGAACGCCCGTGATTTCAGCAGTTGATGGATGCAATGCACTGGTAGGAAGCCGGGGATATTGGCGTTCAAATTCGCCGTAACTGGTACCTTAACGGCATGCGCAGTGACCACCTGTTCCGTGAAAATCTCCTGCATGAAGATTTGCTTGATCCGCGTGAGATTGTTAGGCCTGATCGGTATCTTCATCCCGAGTGTAGCACAGACCAGTTCGCAGATCGCTGATAACTGATTGCTGTGGAAGTGAATTGCCATCAGCAACAACATTTCGCCAAAACTGGCAGTAACGCCGCTTGCGCTTTCGAAATAGGCTTCTTCTCGTACCAGCCATTGCACCCACTCGATGCTGCGTTTCTCTAGATTGTGATGCCCGATCAGGGAAGGGCATGCTATCAACATGCACAAGCCGAGCGACACGAATCTAACACCAGCGGGTGATGGCGGTGGATGCGACGTCAGAAGCTGAACGATCATTGCAACTTCATCATCTTGAAACTTGATACCACCGATACCTCGTAGAGCACAATAGAGCCTGAGTAACGCGCTCGCTTGCACAACTTGCGATTCCGCTAATTGACTATCCGTGCTCTGTGACGCGATCGTTTGCAGTCGTTTGAGTAACTCCTCCCGTAATGATTGCAGAGCTGTTTGTGATTCCCACTTGCGTTTCTGTCCATTTCTAATGAACATAGCGATCCACGATCGTACCTGCTGATCGCTACCAAGTAACAAACCAGACACAAAGGCAACTACATCGCTCTCGGACTGCAAGCTATTTGCGTTTTCATGCTCCAAGCTCAGAGTGATAGCCAGAGCGGGCATCCGACATAACTCCACGCATTTAGCTCTAATTGCCAGTGCTTGACTTGGATTCATCTGACAGAGCATCGTGATTGCCTGTGTCCTAATCCTGCCTAATACAGATTCTTCTTGTCGTTCCCCGTTAGCAATCAGATGTGCACATACCTCCGAAAAACTGTCTGGACTATTGGCGACAATCCAACAAATAATATCAGGGCCATGCTTAACATGCAAGAGGGTCTCTGCTATGTCCAAGATAGATAACAATGTTGGCAGTTCTGCAAGAGCAATGCAGATAACATAGCTTATTTCTTCCATATAAACCGCATTGTCGAACAGATCTGACTGTTTGACCTGGAATTCTTGATTCTTCTGCAATTCCTGTATCTGAGACGCTATGAATAAGATCTCGCTGAGCACTAATCTGATTCTACGAATAGATTCACTACGTTCAAATTCTAGCGCTAAACCACTCTGCAGGGACTGGGCCAGTACACTATCTCGTTGAACACTACCGAGCTTTTGTCTAAAAAAGAAATAGATGAATGTTAACATATAATCATTACACTTCAAAATATAAAAATTATATAACAATGTGAATCTGAAAATCGTTGTAATATAAAGGATTCAATAAAGAAGAGATATTTTTCAGTGATCCAGGAATAGTCATTTTGATTTTTACACCTCAAAATTAAGCTCAATAGTAACTTTCTTTACTATTTGAAAATTCATACTTATCTTCTTTAGAGCTTTTTTTCTTTAGAAAATATTAAATATAAATCTAAATACACACACACACACACACACATATATATACACATATATATATATACACATATATATATATGTGTACATACAGGATGAATCAGAGTACTTAAATCAATTTTTTATCCTATGAGAAAATTGTCGACCTCATACCTAATTATTGACTTAGGGATACAGATCAGATATGTGGACATCATGTGAATTGCCGGACATACTAAAAAAGGCGCATTTTTAATATCTTGTAACAATTTTTATAATTCAACCTCAAATGTGCATACATGTATATAATAATCTAACACTAATTATAGGATATTTAATAGTACACAATGCAATAACATACTGATTTACAAGATTTGGATTAATATCTTTCTTTAAATCAGTTTACAAATTATTGAACTGCAGCATAACTGATACCAATTTCGTAATAATATGAATAAGGATTTTATTAATTTTATTTCCTCAATTTTTCCTTGAGTGTAGCGTCATTATTATAATAAATTTTCATGAAAAAAAATCCATTTAAAAATGTAGAAATAAAACAAATAGTGAAAAAAATTTACTCTCCTTTGTTGTTCAATATAATGACTTTTAAATAAAGTGTAAAAATTAATACAATAAAAGACTAGATGATCATTCCTGGGTTAAATTCGTCATCGATATATTATATATATTATAAAAAAAAAAACGAAACAGAGCGTAAGTATCTTAACCTCAACTGCTGCTCCTGTCGGACATCGGTCTCGAGGGCATGGAAATCGATCGATAACAGGGCGATAATAGAATTGACAGACTCAATACCAGATAATATCGTCAGGACTTGCTTTCTACCTTCCACGCAATCCTTCGTTATGTCCAACGGTGAGATGAGGCTCATCCTAACCAAACACGGTAGAATAGGCCTAATCTCCTTGTGCGAGCACAACGATAACTCTTTGATATCAACATTCTGTATCGCCGTAAATACTCGCGGCGATACTCGCGTATTTTCATACATCTCGCCTCCACCTTTCTCTTAATTCTTTTGCGGACTGGATTGACCTCAAACAGAGGTACAATAAACAAGACCATATGGCGCCAGTATCATCATCATAACAGCCTTCGTACCAGAAGTTTGTTTTCTGAGGCTGAACTAGTGTACACTTTTGGAACTTGAAGAGATAAAGTATATGTTTGATATTTGTTGAAAGTGAGAAAGAAAGTGCTAGTGCAGAAGTCTAGTGCAGGAAAACCTACAGGCTCTTACGTATATTTCCGAAAGTGCTAAAGGGACTTTGTTCAAGCCTACATCACATTAAGCGGCAAATTTGAACGACTCTATTGTCCATATTCATAGTCAGACCTTATACTTAAGACTTAAATTTATCTTTAGATGCTCAGCAGCCTCTAAAATAATTCGTAAAGTATCTAAAGATAAATTTAAGGAAGCCTTAAATATAAGGTTTGACTGTGAATACGAGTATATAACTCACTTATAGCGTATTCAACCCGAACGGATTTGCACCAATCTAGATTGAATTAATGACGTTGTATGCTCTCTTATTGATGGAACATGTAACGTCAACCAATAGTAGAACATTATCCAACCCAAATTGGGGCAAATCCGCTCGAAAACGCTATTATAAAAGTATAATATTTTGAATAAATATATTATTTAAATTATTACATAAATAACATTTTTTTAATATTAGTTTAATTATTACTTAAATTTCATAGAAACAGTCGAAAAACTTATGTCATTAAATCGCAGTCAATTTGTCTCGACTCTACATGTATGACGTAGCTTAGACAAAAGTGGGAATACGCAGTGATCTAATTCAATACGAGCGTATCATGCATTTGTATTATTTAATAAAGTTTTGATTATTTCACATATTAACAATATTGGCTCATATATAGGCATTATATACATTATTAGATTTAATCTCTTGAGCCTACGATTATCTGCACTTATTCTTTTACGTAAAATATTGCGAATGAGTATAATTAAATTGTACTTTATATAATTTTATATTTTATCAAATTTTAACAAAATGTAATAAAATATATTGTACCAAAAATAATTAATAAAATAATTGAAAAGAGGTCGATCCCTAACACCAGAATTCATTGGCGAAACGTTGGTTAAACATTGGCATACATTGGAGATATGTTGGACCAATATTGCGCCGATGAATTATGCTGTTAGGGATTATAATCGGCGGGGATAGTAGAGGTCTTCTACGAGATTGATCCGTTTCTATTTATTTGAAAATTCTATTTCAAATTAAAAATAATTCAAGTATTAATCATAACACACACACACACACACGCGCGCGCGCGCGCGCACGCACACACACAGGTCGGGTGTAATATACGTTCGTGAGATCAATGATAGAAAATGATATAAACTTATAGAAAACGACATAAACTATTAGAAATTCTGTTGTTCTCAATTGATCTCTATCAATTATTTTTTCCAACGATACATTTTAAAAAAATAAGAATTTAGAGAAAGATTTTTTTATTACAACTTGTAGCTACAGATATATTTAGAAAAAATCTTCTCTCTGAATTTATACATGACATAATATAAATTGAATATATATCTTATTTTTAAAAAATATATATAGTTTTTCAATCTTGAAGATACACAACGCCTAATTGTCTACGCAATTCATCCTCCAGCTTCGCCAGCAATAAGGATGTGTCGTGCGATATCTTTGGACTTTCTATCAAACCTGCAAAATTAAACATAATAATTAAACATAAAATATTCAATATTATAATTATCGATATTATGATTATGTGATTTTATAATAATAACAAAAATCAATTTTGTTATTATTATAAAAACATTTCTCGATAAGGACAGCATTTATTAAGTTATATGACAAAATGTTGCATAAATTCGGTAATCTGTAATTATACGGACGATATCCTAATAAAAACAAATGCAAAAACTTGACCTTCTAAAATATTAATAACTGTTTGCTTAATTAATTTCATGCATCATTTAGAAATTTCTGACAAAGCTGTTGCGTTATGGCACATCATCTTAGCGCAATTATTGCAAAATTATCGTTAATTCAAGATGCCATAATTGTGCAATATTTTCACAATTTGTCTCTTGAGATTATTAAAGTAACTCATAAAAGATGAGAGACTCGACCGGCGGATTAGAATACTGACAGGTTTACCTTTCAAAATGCAGTTACGAGCTTCGACAGCTTCGTAGGAAAGTCCGGCGGAATTTATGTAGTTAACCTCGTGCTTTAATTTTGGTAGCGACGTCTGTACAGTGCCGCTCGGCAATTCCACCTTTGTCGGACACCAAAAACTAGGCACTTTTATCATACCCTTGGTACCGCAAATGTACGCCTCATTCGGCAGGTCAACCAGCGCATTTGTCGTGATTGTTGCGGTGCGATTTCCTTTGTAGATCAAAGTAGCCGACATGCTCATATCGACGCCGTTCTTATTCAGAATTCCAGCCGCCTTAATACTCTCCGGCATTTCGTTATTATATACCAAGCAGGCAAATTGCAAACAATAAATGCCAAGATCAAGAATTGATCCGCCGCCTAACTCTTTCAAGCTGTAAATTGATTGATTAATTAATTAATTGCCTCGCTTCTTTTAGACGCTAAAACAGTTAATAAACATTACGTTATCCGATCCACATCAAGCATTTGAAAACCGAAAGAAACGATCACTTGATGAATATCGCCTATGTTACCAGACGCGATTTCCTTTCTAACAATATCATATACAGGAAAACAACGGCTCCACACGGCTTCCATTAAGAACAGATTTTTACTTTTCGCGTAATTAATCAATTCAGTGGTCTGCTTTAGGTTCATCGTCAATGGCTTTTCGCACAGGACATGCTTGCCGTGTTTCAGCATAAGCATCGCGATGTCGAAGTGTTGAGGGTGAATCGCTCCGATATATACGATGTCTTGAAACATATACAAATATGACAAATACAAGTATATTAAATTGAATTTAAAACAATTTTTACGGAGACATACAAATACTTCATAAATTTAAAATACAGAAAAATTTTGTTTAATATTATAAGAAAACATTATGAGAATTCTTTTTACTAGAGAATTTAAAAATATCTTAAGATTTCTCATTCTATTTTAATTTCCAATAAAAACATAAAATCCAAAAAAATTTTAGGATATTTTTCAAAAAATATAAATTTAAAGTATGAAAAATTCTAAAAAATATTATATTATGAAATTTTTTTTCATTATGATATCACAATGAAATTTTATTATAATTGCATAAAATTAATACAATTCGCAATTATCATGTACCGATATCCTTGTTCAATCCTAGTTTCTCATAATCGTCGTAAACCGTCTTAATTTCGTGCAACTTTGCAAAATCCTTCGCACGCGACAACTGTCGCGCTGCAACGGCGATGACATTATGCTCATCAGCTGGTAAAGATTGCAGTGCTGTTACAAAATCATGCGAAATTTTTCCTGCGCTAGCGATGCCCCATCGTAAAGTCACCATCTAAATTTTTCGAAAAAGAAGAAGTTTTATCAGTTTAACATTGACCTAGATCTAGTTTACGATGTGCGCTTGATACGGATACTAATTATAGTAACTTTCTATTGATTTTATCTTAATTTCGGCGATATGTGTAATATATACATGATGTATGTGTATTTAATTATAATTATTATTTTGATGTATACTTCGGAAGAAATGCAAGATCGGATAGACGTCTATTAGACGTCAGAGGTATCTACAGGGTCCGGCAAAATGATCTCCCACATTTTAATCTTTAATAAAAACGCCATTGTAAATGCTATTTAGATTTTATTTTTATTAACTGAAAATTTATGCTATGCCATTTGTTTTTATTGAGTTTTGAAAATTACAGAGTCCAAGTGGTGACCATTTTTTTCGATACACATTCGAAGCTGATTTCTAAAAGTTTCTAAAAGTTTCTAGATTTCTAAAAGGCATGTTTAACATCTGAACAGCTAGGAGATCGTTCAACTGCTTCTCTTACAGCTGCAACATTTTCAGGTGTCCGAACACTTCTGGGTCTACCAGTTGATTTTCTTTTTAAAGCTGAACCTGTAGCTCTAAAATTTGAAACCCACAACAGTATTGTTTTGCGATCTGGAACTGAAGCATGTCTACCAAGTGCGAAATGAGTACGAAGTTCTTTGCGTCGTAATCACAGATTCGTTACTTTTCATAAATGTTTCGATAACGAAGGCACGATGCTCGCCCGTCCAATTCATGACGACAACTGAAATGGCAAGGCGTGAGCTATCAACCGACTACGCTAAGCTCCCCCTCTCTTCAGTGGTTCGGGGACAGTGGCGGTGCAAAATGTGGGAGATCATTTTGCCGGACCCTGTATATATATACATCTAAAATAACGTTTAAAAATATTAATTTTAGACGCCATGTGATTTTGTATTAATTTTTTTATTATTGTGTTATATTAGGCATGCAAAAACCTAATATTTATATAACAGCAGATCTTTATTTATAAAATACTTTTTTAAGCTGTAAGCAGGGCCGCGATATTTAGAAAATTAGCGCCCAAAAGTTTATCCGAAAGCTTTTCTTTCTCTGCTTATAGTGAATAAATGTACTTATTAATTATAAAACAAGGATAAATAATTAAATATCCCGGTAAAAAATTTTTCATATAATGAATGAGTGCATTCAGCAGACTCAACTGGGCTGCGTTCAAAATCGTTGTCCAGATGCACCCAAATGTAGTTTTATTCTTGTTGTTCACGAATGTTAAACAAAGATAAAAGAACATCTGGGTGCATCCAGATGATAATTCTGAAGGCAGCCCTATTGTGCAACCGTTTTATGCTTCACTTTGATTTCTAATCGGACGAGGTCATGATACTTTCGGGTCAAACATGGATTAACCGGATTGGGTCGGCTTCAAACCCACTGCACTCGAAAACGCTATAAAAATATGTTGAGTTAAATCAGTTCCAAAACGTGTTGGACAAAATGGCTGCGTTTCAAAGTGCCAATATTTAAAGGACATTATGGCCCGTATTCAGAACGCGTTTACGATGTTAGCGCGCTAACATACTATTCTTTACGTTACGCATGTTATAGAATTTCAAAGATAAAAGCGCGTTCTGAATATGGAACTATATATGTAAACAGGTAACTTAAAAGTAAAGCCGGTTCTACATTTTGAAATCAACGCTTCATATTGGCTGTCGCAACAAACTCACGATCGGCTTGCAACTAATGTAGAACCGGCTTAATAGAAACATTTGAGACTTATCAAAAGTGAAAACAGTATGTAGATCGATTTTTGGAAATCGAATCAGCAATTAAGAAGCAACTGTAAATTCTAATTATATATTCATGCTATCAACATTATTAATTTAAAATGCAATCGTATATAAAGGAATTAGCACTCACATTGCAGAAACGAAGTAATCACCACGATGTCCTGGAGTATACTAACTGTTTCGCAAGCAAACGCTGCTTACGTCGAGATAATCTTGTTCAACGACTTTCAAGCAACCTTGTAATGTAACATGCCACACAGAGTGATAAAGAATATTTTTATTACGCTATATCTTTCCGCGTACTATTTTTGTAAGTTTTAATTATTTTCACTATTGATAATACGATCAGTTTATTTGTTACAATCATGCGAAGCATGTAGAATTTTACAGATAATCATTTATATATTAAGATCCGTATTAACGCGCTTTTATCTCTGAAATTCTATAGTATGCGTAACGTAAATTATAGCACGTTAGTGCGCTAACATTGCTGTAAGTGCGTTCTGAATACAGGACTATCTCTCCTCTGCATCATGAGTCTTTTAAGGAATAATCAAATTCAACAGTTAAAGTTTTCCTATATATTTTGCTATATAAAAAAATATATAATATTTAAGTTTAAAACACTTAGAATACAGGTAGAGATATAAAGTAATAAAAAAAGTACAACTATATTTATATAAAATACTGTTTTATATATATATATATATATATATATATGTATATATATATATGTATATATATAATATACTGTTTTTGTTTTTTTAAAAAACTAC